TCATTATTATTTTTACTCCTAAAATATCACTACTATTTTGATCAATAAAAAAATATATCACAACTATGATAATATGTATAATTAACTATGTTTTAGTTGAATTTATGAACTGTTACAATTGACTCCGTAAGTGAGGACGATTGCAACAAGTTCACGACTGTCAAAAATTGTTAATAACTAATATAATAACATTTAAAATAAAGTATTTTTTTTTTCTAGTAGAGGATAGTCTACTTTACTCGTCTGTCAATTAATACTAATAATATATAGAATTTTTTGTTAGTTAAAAATAGTTAAGTAAAAAATGTTACAATTGACCCCACTCTCCCCTACTTTGTATTTTGTATGGGGTTGGCCCTATATAGGACCAGTATTAAAAAATTTAGGCTTCCCAATATTGGTCTTATGGTGCATGTTCATACAGGACTCATATTTAGTCAATTTTGAGCCAAATTGGAGTCAAGATAAAATTATTGCTTGGGTGTACACTTTATTTATGTTGAGATATTAATTTTCTTAAATTTGTTTTAGCCTCATGACGTGTTAGAATTTATAAATTACAGAAAATTCTTATGAATGGTAAAATTTCACGCAAATTTGAACACAAATCACGATAATAAAACTTCCTAGAATATTAAGCCTGTTCACACAACTCCTCGTAAGTATAACATAAGCAGAGCAGTACACCGGATGTTTTCTTTCTCCCGGATTTAGGAAGCTTGTTATTGTTTACATTCAGTCAACCATCCACATAGTTAATCTAAAGTCAGAACTCCTCTAGCCATTTGTCTGGACCCTTGGTGGTGACTATGGTAAAGAGGTATAACTATTTCAAGTAGGGGTGTGGAGTTGATGATTAGGGCAAGTTCTGGCTCAGCTCGGCGAGAGAAAGGGAATCTCTTTCTTTTGTCTACTATGTTAGCCCTAGAGTGAAGAGGAGCTATCCTCCCTGAAACGCGCTTATTCGAGCTTCCACAGCAGAAAACGGTCTCAAACTTTGTGGTGGGAGTTCTTACCATAGATAAACTATAGATAAAATTCTCTTGGGATGCTCCGCTGACGTCCGTAAATTCTGTAAAAGTGATCCATATTTAAACATGAACTTTCTATACAGATGCACACTTACAATATATTTTAAGTAGCACTTCTTCACTTTGACCTTTTCCTTCAGAGTTGAAGGCTTCACATTGATAAGAGCCTTTGTGACTTTGATCGACACTATGGAGATGAAGGGAGTGATTTCGGATGCTGACCCCTCTAAGAGAATCTTTAGCAACATTTTGACCTTGAAAGATCCACTTGATGTCAGTTATTGAAGGGTTGGATTGAATGTTGCATTCGAAATATACGTCGCTTCCTTCGTGGATATGTGCGTGTTGCACGCTAGCACCAAAGACAAGAGTAAGTTGAGGTGGGTCTGCAAATAAATTTTAATTAGACAATCAGTAAAATCTGCAAAAAGCACTTTAGTTTTTGACAATTAACGGTTTTATCTTGCTTTAACCGCCATGTGAAAGCGTAACTTAGCATAACATAGCACTTTTAGCATTGTTTTTGACAATTGTCAAAAATCATGAAATTTTGAATCATGTATAACAAATGTTGCTTTCATATGCTACGGACTGACAATACGCCGAAATAGATTGGGGTAGAATTAATTGTGAACTGTGTCTTTTTGCATAATTCGAATCGAAAATCAACATAAAGGAAAAATCTCATTTGAAAAAGGGAAAATTAAGCACTTTTTAAAAACACCCAATAAAAAAAGCACCTTTAAGGGCTTTTAAAAAAAGAAAAGCGAAAATAAGCGCCTTTAAGCACTTTTTAGAAACGCTACGCACCCTGTTTGATCCTCTGCAGAGAGGATGGCACCCCCGCTTCGGTAGCCTGACGACCTGCACACGAAGTCAAGCACATTACGGTAGAACAGTTTAAGAGGACCAATACCGTACACCCTTGGTCCCTACGCAGACTGATCCGAGTGGTAACACACACCCGCACACAAACCGCAGCTAGTGACGCTTGACTTCGGTGATCTGCTGGTCTTAACGATCTAATCGATCATGTCTTAACGATCAGTCCACTGCGGGACGCGCTCTTTTTGTAAAATGTTATGTTTTCGTTCGTTTTCTAAAATGAAATTCTACATCTTAAAATAAGCTGAATGCGTAAAATTAGGATGTTGTTCCTTTTGAGTCCTATAAATTTTTTTTTAAAATTTGTATTTCATAAAATCTTCAAAACTATGCATTTTGAGAAATTTTAGGTGTAAAATTATAAATTAATGATGACATTTCTTCTGCTTTCAGAAAGGTTCTTTTTTTGAATGAAAAATATTATGAGAAATATATTTTTTAAAATAAAATATTTCATGAATGATTATTAATAAAAATGTAATTAATTAAAATGTTATCAATGAATAATTAATGAAAAGTCTGATTTTACGGTAAAGTGATATCTGAATGGTCCGACAACAGTCCCAAATTTCTCCTAAGCAGACTATCTTGCCCACTTTTACCACTGACTACTTTAAGAGCAATCGAAATTTTAAAAATAAAGTGAATGTAATTAATACAGATTATGTAAAAAATAATACCCTGCAATAATAAATTGCTTCTTAAAATTAAATTACATAAAGGTACTGATAATTCCATAGTCTTTTAAACACATCAAATTCAGTATATATCAAACACAAAAACATCAGACAATATGTTTTTGTTATATAATTAAAGTCTAAAGTAATTAAAATGACATGTCAAGATTTCTAAATATTTCCCATTCTATGCTTTAAAAAATATAAACTGCCAATGTGCTTAATTTAAATCATTAAACTATATTAAAGTTAACAAACCCTAATAAGTTTAATTTTCTGAATACAATACATTTTTAGTAATGAAAAATAGCTGATATGCTGTGTTTAACTCTAGATTGCCCAAGGCAGTCATTTTGACTGTTTATTAATTTCAATTCGAACAACAATGATTGACACAATTTCTTAGAATTTTTTGACATTTTGTACAACGCACAATTTTTTTATTGTTAATATTTACTAATAACTTGTTATGTAACTGCAAATAATATAAAAAATATTAAAAATGAATTTTGAACAAATTTCTTTACACATTAGCTATTATTTCGCAATCCAGTCATTTTGACTGCTTTTGGGCAATATATACTAAGCTTCAGTCTTTCTATTGTTAAAGAAATTTAAAAAATAAATACACATTATCAAATATATTGTGTAATAAAAATGATAATATATTACAATATACCGATCTTAAAGAATTAAATTACACAAAGGTATTTAAAGAAAGAAAAAAAAATCATAAAACTATAAAATTTTACCAGTCAACAAACTATCAATTTAACTCTTCCATTTTATTTCATGACTTAAATAATAGATAAAAAGAGGGAAAATATTTTATGTAAGCACTTCCGATGGGCCATCAAACGTGGTAAATACATTATGGATTAGAACGTCTTGTTTCCAATTGAAAGCCATTACTATTTTATATCACCTGTCTCAAACACTCTGAGTTTTGTAATAACAAGTACATCAGGCTAGCTTGAGTGCGTACCTGTTATAGCGTTTTTTAATACCATTTTTGAAGTAATTTGAAGCACATCGAAACCACTGATGGAAGAAGGTCAGAAATAAAATGTTTTAGAGAAAAAAAGCGTCTTCTTTCCAATAAAACTTTAGATATTTGTATTCAATAAGTATCACATCAGATTCGATATCTAAAGTATATGCTATGATACGAGCGCGATATATTTATAAAGTATCAAAACTGAATTTTTATAATATAATTTTTTTTTTCTACTATTAGTTCACACTCTCCCTATATCTTTTTCAAATTTTCAATCCAATTTTGTAAATACAACATTTAACAACAATGAACGAAATTGATTGAATAGTTCCTGAGGAATCCAATTTTAAATATACTACTTCGTTAAAATTCAATTTATCAAAAGCTATTCGACGGATTTCGTTCGAATTTTGTATTTTGCCATAAAATACAACATTTAAACTAAATTAGATTAATAGTTTCCGAAAAAGCCAATTTTAAATATACTACTTACTTAAAATTCCATTTATCAAAAGCTATTCGATCAATTTCGTATGTTCATACTTGTAATGTTCAGGCTTTTATTTTTGCCATGTAAAATTACCAGAGATGCCAACTGCTCCGGACAATCCAAAATAATTTAAAAAACGGTAAATAACTGCAAAGTATATTTTGCTAATATTTGATTATTTTTGCTTACTTTTTTAAAGATATTGCATAACATAGTATTAAAAAGTGGTAAATTATATAAGCCTACGAATTATTTAGAAATAGTGGTGGATAAACGTCTACTAAATTGAATTTATTAAACCAAGAATCACAATTGATAAACTACCACTTTAAAATATATATTTGCAGTCCGGAGCAAGTTGGCATCTCTGAATTACCCTACTTATAGTTCGGAGAACAGGAATTCGAATCCGTAGAAAATAACTTACGTTTATTCAGAGGAGGTACGCTTTTGTGTCTCATTTCATAACTTTAATCATAGTCTGTACTTATTATGTACTTATGAATTAGCATATTCCAGGTCATCTTTTCGAATCATTTAGAATGAGTCTGATATGTGAAAATTCGATCATTAAATCAAAAGTTTTTCAGGGTTTTTCCGCTTTTTTACATAGCAATGAAATTCAGAGAATAAGTTAAAGTTGAATTTCGAAAAGTGTATCGGTTAACGCTTAAGTTCCAGAGTAAAATACATCTTTTTTATTTAAGCATGTAGTCCGTGGAGATCGAGATTCACACAGAAAGTAAAAGTTTATTTGCATTAAACAGACAAAAACATACAAGCTTAAAAAGAACGCCATCTAGCGGTATTAAAAAGAAAAGCAATACTTCCGTGGGAATGACAACAATCTCCCCCTGCGAGAAGGATTTTACTTTTTAATACAAATAACAATGTATTTTTTTATATTTTTATCCGTCATTGAACAGCCAACCCAGTTTTGAATTTACAACTACTAATGTTCAACTCAGTAGCCTTGTAATTTTGCACCAATCCAGAAGACAGGGAAACTCCTGGATCAGTACCCCCTCCCCCCAGATGTATGATTTCTTATTGGAACACGGAGGGCTTTGTGACTCGACAGATTTAACTTGCATCAGTCATCATTGACTACATGGGGAGTCTTCGGACATCGGGGTTCGAACCCGCAAACTCTTTGACGTGGGCCCAGTGCCCTACCAACCAGACTATTCCAGTTTCGTTTTTTAAATTTTTTTAAAAACTTTTTTTAAATTTAAAAAGAATGCCATCTGGCGGTATAAAAAGAAACAAACTTCATGGCAATGCTTTCCTGGAAAGGACAACAAAACACATAAACAGAATAATACTCACACAAAATGTTTAGAGTCCAGCTGTCGTGCAAGGAACTTCTTGGAAGCTTTAGGTTTAAAGCTTCACACGTCAACGTTTTGTTGTGATCTTCAATTTTAGGAACAAAAGTAAGAGTGCTAAAAGTTATGCTTCCATAGATGTTTTGCACAGCTAAGTGATCGATGTTTTCTAAACCTTTTCTCCAAGATATCCCAGCTGGTGGTCTCGATCCTTCACTCTGACAGTTGATCTCAATTTTTGATCCAACTTTTAGAGAACCGAAGATGGTGGAGATCTGTACATTTAAGGGTTTCACTCGTTGAGGAATAAAAGAAAGAAAAAAGAGAGTTGAAAGTTGGTTGAATAAGAAGCAGCATCAACACATATTTGCAATAGAAAATATTTCGAGTAAAATAGGCTCGTACCAGAGTTTGGCAAAAATGTAATCGATTACAGTAATCCAATACTTGTAATCATGATTACAAGATAACATAATTTTGATTACTGTAATTGTTAATTGCAATCACGATTGCAGCGGTAATCAATTGCTTGTAATCTTGATTACAATAATTGATTACGGTAATCAATTGCTTGTAATCTTGATTACAATTCACCAAAATTTTGATTACAACTGTAATCATGATTCCCAATAATTGCGATTGCAAGTAATCACAGCAAATTCGATAGTTTGTAATTACAAGCAATTGATTACAGTAATTTGTTATGTAATCACGATTACAGTTGAAATAAAAATTATAAATGTTTGTAATCATGATTACAAGTAATTGATTACTGTAATTTAGTGTTGTTATTAAGATTACAGTTGTAATCAAAATTGGTAATCATGATTACAAGTAATTGCGATTCAAGTAATCACAACAGAAAAGATTACTTGTAATCACGATTACAAGTAATTGATTACTCATGAAAATGCAAGAAACTCTGAATATACGTAACTGAACCGTAAGATGAGTTTAATGCATAGAATCATCCTTATAAATTTTAAAGCAAAGCACTATAAGGCATCAAATATTAAAAACAGCACATCAGCCGCAGTGTCAAACAAAAGGGTTTGCTTCAAGACATGGCATAAAATTCATCTTACAGTGCGTCTAATAATTTGGCCAAGAACTGTATATTATCGACAGTATGTCGCATGCAGAGAGTTGCTCTGAGGCTTTAAATAATTAGGATTCTCACTAAAAAAAATGAAACCTAAGACAGCGATCTTAAAAAGGCTTTTTTCGCTTGCTAGTGACCCAGTAAAACGAACACGTATCCTCTTACGCAAAGAAAACGAAACTTACTTTCTGGAAACTTGCTTTGCTTATGCAAATTTTATTTGTTCGGTACAACTTCTGGTTGTGTAGAAATTAGTTATGATAATGTGTTATAATAAGTTGACAGTATCTCTAAATAAAGAGTATACCATGAGACTTACCAGAATTTTCCCCGTGTCGGAATTTTATCCATGTTGGGTAGGTGTTTTCAACACGTCTCCCATGAAATATTCCATGCGTAGCCAGATTTTTCGACAAAAATTAAGCACCTTTTAAGCTTTTTTCAAGCACTCAAAAATATTTTAATCACTTTCCAAAACAAAATAAATCATAATTAGGATCTGTGCAGGAATAAAAATTATTTTTTCTACCGTGTAAGGTTCTTAATTTATAAACATAAAATCAATAAAATTTAAAAAAAATATCAATAACTTTACATATTCATGATAAAATAACTAGTTAAATATTGCAGAGAAAATTGTGAAAATCAAGCATTTTTTGGTAATTTAGAACGACAATCGACATGGCAAAGAAGAAAAATCAATTTTTGAAAGATAGAAAATTAAGCAAATTTTTTACAAACCCCGAGTAAACAAAAGTCCCTTTACGGGCTTTTAAAAAATGTAAATCAAAAATAAGAACTTTTAAGCACATTTTAAAAACTCTACGCACCTTATATTCGTGTCCTTTCGATAATAAATAAAAGTATATCTCGCTGAATTAGATAATTAGGTCAACGAATATTTTGAGAATTGCAACTACAACTATTTAAGATTATATTGATGCTTTAAACTAAAAAAGACCGATGTGGCTAATTTGGCCCTTGTCCTTTTTGGGTGCTCTGTAATTTTAAAAATATGTTACTTAAAGTGTTGAGTATTTTTGACCTTTTATAATTTGATTCAATTTAAGTGCTTATTAACGAATCATGTATTAAGTAAATAATCTCACGAAACTTGAAGAGGTAATATATCACTTCATTAACTACTCGAGCTCAAAAGTTTCGCTGCAATTACTTAAATAGTGTACTGCAATTCCTTAGACTGTTTTTGCAACTGATGCATATGTTTGCGTTTTGTTTCTGTAACATCAGTATTTATGATAGTAGATTCGAGTGTTGATTAAATTTTTCCCCTCATTCTTTTTCTCCGTTGTTTGGTTTACGAATTGATGGTAGAACTTTCGAGAATTTTATAACATAGCCTTCATTCATTCAAAGATTTTAGAATTTTCAAATTTATGATTTTCATTTATCCTTGATTTGGAAGTTAATAATGAGAAGTAGCATCTATTAAAAATATACTATCTAAATTGAAGAACAGTGGGAGGAACTATGTTTACTTCATCGCATGATTTTATGCAAACATTACATTTTAACTGGGACCGTATAATATTTTTTAAATTGTCAATTCAAATTAGAGTACTTTGTATTTTGTATGGGGTGGGCCCTATATAGGACCAGTATTAAAAAATTTAGACTTCCCAATATTGGTCTTATGGTGCATGTTCATATAGGACTCATATTTAGTCAATTTTGAGCCAAATTGGAGTCGAGATAAAATTATTGCTTGGGTATACACTTTATTTATGTTGAGATATTAATTTTCTTAAATTTATTTTAGGCTCATGATATGTTAGAATTCATAAATTACAGATAACTCTTATGAATGGTAAAGTTTCAAGCAAATTTGAACACAAATCACAATAATAAAATTTTCAAGAATATTAAGCCTATTTACTCATCACCTCGTAAGTATGAAATAAGCGGAGGAAAACACCTGAAGTTTTTCTAACTTTCTTCAGGCTTCAGGAAGCTTGTTAATGTTTACATTCAGCCAACNTTCTTTACACATTAGCAATCATGTATTAAGTAAATAATCCCACGAAACTTGAAGATGTAATATTTCACTTCATTAACAACTCGAGCTCAAAAGTTTCGCTGCAATTACTTAAATAGTGTACTGCAATTCCTTAGACTGATTTTCACACTGTGATTTGATGCATATGTTTGCGTTTTGTTGTTGTAACATCAGTATTTACGATAGTAGAATTTAGAATTTCCAAATTTATGATTTTCATATATCCTTGATTTGGAAGTTGATAATGAGAAGTAGCATCTATTAAAAATATACTATCTAAATTGAAAAAATAGTGGGAGGGACAATTTTTACTTCATCGCATGATTTTATGCTAACATTAAACTTTAACCGTGGCCGTTTTGGTGTCATAATATTTTTAAATTATCAGTTCAAATTAGAGTACTTTGTATTTTGTATGGGGTTGGTCCTATATAGGACCAGTATTAAAAAATTTAGGATTCCCAATATTGGTCTTATGGTGCATGTTCATATAGGACTCATATTTTGTCAATTTTGAGCCAAATTGGAGTCAAGATAAAATTATTGCTTGGGTGTACATTTTATTTATGTTGAGATATTAATTTTCTTAAATTTATTTTAGGCTCATGATATGTTAGAATTTATAAATTACAGATAACTCTTATGAATGGTAAAGTTTCAAGCAAATTTGAACACAAATCACAATAATAAAATTTTCAAGAATATTAAGCCTATTTACTCATCACCTCGTAAGTATGAAATAAGCGGAGGAAAACACCTGAAGTTTTTCTAACTTTCTTCAGGCTTCAGGAAGCTTGTTAATGTTTACATTCAGCCAACCATCCATATAGTTTGCCTAAAGTAAGAACTCCCCTAGTCATTCCTAGCGGAGGAGTACAAGGAAGTTTTTCTAACTTTCTTCCGATTTTAGGATGCTTTTTATTGTTCACATGCAGTCAACCATCCATATAGTTCGTAGGCATTCGTCTGGACCCTTGATGGTGACTATGGTAAAGAGGTATAACTATTTCAAGAAGGGGTGTGGGGTTGATGCTTACGACAGGTTTTGGCTGAACTCGGTGAGAGAAAGGGAATCTTTTTCTTTGGTCTACTGTGTTAGCCCAAGAGTGAAGAGGAGCTACCCTCCCTGAAATGCGCTATTCTTGTTTCCATAGCAGCAAACGGTATCAGACTTTGTGGTGGGGGGAGTTCTTACCGTAGACAAACTATAGATATAATTCTCTTGGGATGCTCCGTTGACGTCCATAAATTCTGTAAAAGTGATCCATATTTAAACATGAACTTTCTGTACAGATGCACACTTACAATATATTTTAAGTAGCACTTCTTCACTTTGACCTTTTCCTTCAGAGTTGAAGGCTTCACATTGATACGAGCCTTTGTGACTTTGATCGACATTATGGAGATGAAGGGAGTGATTTCGGATGCTGACACTTCTAAGAGAATCTTTAGCAACATTTTGAC